CAGGGAAGCTTTGTTTTTCATCTGTTTCCTCCACCACCTTCCACAGGCTCTGGAAGATGTCTGTGTAATTGAATTGACCACTGGTATAATCAGTGGAGAGAGGAGTTTTGTCTTTCTTTCTGGAACCTATGGGAGTTTTGTTGTTTTTTTAATGTTTAGCTTCCATACCCTTATTTTAATTACTTGAAAATGCTGCCAGTGAAATCTATTGATTCCTAATAATTGAGCTGGAAAAAAAAACTATACTTTGCTGGTATTAAAGGATTGAATTTCTAAGTGGAAGCTTGAACTGAACCAGTGAAGCTCATGAATAAATGAAACTTTGCACCATTATCTCTTTAATTAAGTCCCAGTTTATTTGCTGCTTAAGGTTTTATTGATGGAATATACACAGACTGGCAGAAATGTGAATTTAGGATTACAACAACAGGATATGGCCTCATGTTTTAAAAAGTAGCGATGCTTTTAACTCCCTGCTCTTTATAACACTTAGGTCTTGCTTTGTTTCATTGAATACCATTATGCTTACTTTAAAAAAATCTCATCCAAAGCAAGGTAACTGTCACCCACCAATTTTAGGCAATCCTCACAAGGCAGCTTTGTAAATCAAAAGAGTTACCTGCTGTTGAAAAACAGTTGGAAGTTAAGGATTTACTTCAAGATGTTTAATTTCCTTGTGGCAAAAGTTAAAAATACCTAGGTTGGCTTGAACATGGCTTTACTGGAATGCAAACTCTGATTCTTGGCAAAGGCTCTCTCTTCTGTGTGGTTGTGTGCCAGGGGATGGGGAGGAGAAAGAGTCTCATTGGCCTGCAGCAAATGTGGAGGCCAGGGAAAGAGAGGTGTTAGTAAAGATAGAATGTTCTTCTGTGCAACATTCTCCAACGTGAGATACTGAAGCAATATTAAAAGATGTTAGACACAGATACATACACATACACATCCATAAGCAAATGAGTTTGGGGTACCTGGGTTTGAATTAATCAAATATATTTCCTAATTACAAGTCTTTTTAGAGCAGCAGTGTTCCATAAGGAAGCCACTAGCCACATGTGGCTATTTTAATCTTAATTATAATTAATTAAAATGAAAAATAGTTCTTTAGATGAAGTAGGCACAATTCAAGTGCTCAATGGGCACATGTGACTAGTGTCTATCTAATCGGACAGCACTCATTCTAGAACATTTTCCATCATTGCAGAAAGCTCCATGGGACAGGGCTGTTTTAGGACTTACAATGTGCTGGTCACTGAAAAAGAAACATAGTTTGTAACCATTCCCACACACATTTAATACTTTCTTCAAATACATGATGGAATTGTGTTCTAAGAAACACAATTGGGAAAGGCTGTTTAGTTTCTTACATATTTTGAAATGCATATACTTTATTTCACTTGATTCTTCCCACAGCATTGTGGTGCATTCGCCTCATTTTACAGAAAGGAAACAGAAGCTCAAAGATGGAACTTGGCCATAGTCACAAAGCTAATAAGTAGCAGAGCCAGGATCTGACCCCAGGTCTATTGGATTCCATTTACCACGTCTCCCCCGGTGCTCCCACTGCCACCCTCACTCACTCACCCACCTAGACACACACAGAGAGATGAAAGTTGAAGCTATAATTGTGTTGTTTTCAGGGGTTACCAGAGAAACTATGATGGAACTTCAGGTTGAGAGCAGCAAATGGGTTGAGAATATGTCAATGATTGCCAACATTTTTGAACTCACAAAACTCAGATAATATACATGTAATTTTTTTAAAGTTAAGCCTTAACTGGAGATGTTGTCTTATTATTTTCCAGCATGGTTCTTGGGAATAAACACTGTTTTGAAGGGGAAATGAAAGTATAATTGAAGATCCAAGAATGATAGACATGTATAAATGATAGCCTCTAGCTCTTATAATACTAACAATCGTGTAATCTCACAAAGGCATGGGAAGCCTTAGTTTAGTTGTGAAATACCCCCTCAGGCCCTGAATATCCTCTCCTGATCCTCAGGGTTCTGTCGAATAGGGTTGGGTTCTTAAACACTCCCTCAGTGTCCTCCAACTTCATAACAGACTAATTAAGTCAATCCAATGAGGGAATAGAAGTGAGTTAAATAAAGTGTCCATAAAGAAAAACAGTTAATAGCCTCTTCTTTCCTTGCTTTTAGTTCTGTCTTTATCGAAAGACACATCTTTACCATCATCATCATCTATTGCCTTCCATTTTCATAGCATTTTATAGCTTAGCAAACACTTTCATAAGCATTTTCCATTTTGATTGTTGCAACTACCTTATAAGGGAGAAACATGTCTCATTTTTTAAAACAGGAAGCTGAGATTCAGAGAGGTCAAGATTCCCTGGTTGATAAGAGGCAGGCAGGGCCAACTCGGATAATCTGTCTTTTCATCCAGTTTTTTCAGTATTCTATATGCCTTGATGATAACCCCTTTACATTTTCCCAAGCATTATTGAAAGTAGTCTTTAAAATTTCCCTTCTGGAACATGTAGGAAAAGGGCAAGTAGCTGACCTTTTCTGAGATTGATTCAGAACATTATTTCTTGGAAGTAAACCCATGAATAGACATTTTGAGCCATTCCTGTACATGGTTTTCCAGCAAAATAGAACTCCCCAAAAGCCCCAGGGGACTTCCTGACAAAGCCAGCTGTTTAAAAGCTAATTTCCCATCTCTTTGCTGTCACTTCTGTTTTCTGCAACCATCCTGGGCATAAATCTATTAACTTGAAAGAAAACCTTGTAGCGAGACTTGTCAAAACATAACCCTTTTTTTGTTGTTCAAGAGAAGATTAGCAAAAAAGACTATTAATATTCATATTGAGAGATGTATGTGCAAGCTGCCCATGCAAAAATAGGACCAGGATAATTTATGCAAGATGTTGAACTCCACAGTTCACCTAAAGCTACAAGACATTGCATTTGAGCTTGAGTTTTGGAGTTAAATAGATCATTTGAGCTGTGTGAGCTTCAGCAAGTTACTGAATATCTCTGAGCTTTACTTTCCATTGAAACAGTAAGAAGACCTTCCCCTAACGCTTACTGTGGAAACAAAAATAAGATAATGGCTAACATAGACTCTGGCCCAATAAAATAACAAGTAAGAATATAGTAAAAAGGTGGTAGTGATAGAGAGGAGGTGGGTGTAGGGATGGGGATATCAAAATTATTAGTAGGATTTCCCACTACTGAAATTCTACTTAGAATAAACAGCACAGAGAAACACAACATGCTCAAGATTTCAGGTCATTTAAACAAGAGGAGCAAAGTCAACCCGCCGGGACTCTCCTAAGATGAGAGCAGATACTGAGAGGATGAGTTTGTTGCTCAGCTTCTTTGAGAATCTGAAAATCTGGAGAGGGAGATGCTGGTCTGGGATTCTCCAGGGAGCAGAGTTTTGTGGCTTATTGGAGGGAGGTGGGGAGGGGGAGGGGTATTTTCCTGGGGCAGGATTTCTTAGAATTTTCTTGTAATGATTTGACACCTGTACTTCTAACCAAAGTGACAAGACATCTGGAGTAGTTGCAACGTTTTTGAACAAGAGCTATTTGGAATATTGGTTTGACTTTCTTAAGGGTTTTAGCCAAGCAGTTTACCCACGAATCCCAGACACATGTGTGATGAGAGGCAGACCCCTGAGTCCGAGACCCTGCTGGTGTGCTGATTGGTGTGCATGCCCGCCTCTGTGTGTCGTCTGTGTTTCACATGTTTGTCATTGACAGCCAGAAAAGTAAATCCAAGAGGCTCTTTTAAAAATCATCCCAAAAATCATGGTGGACAAACTCTATGTGGACCAGATTCCTAAGCAGCCTCCTTCAAAACAGAAAATCCTTTCAATTCAATGTGTTTCTGTCAAGCTTCTAAACACAAAATTCTCATGCAACAGCTAATGTACCTTCCTACATTTTTTCCTTTGCTTACCAACAAGTGTTTGCTTACATTTCTAAAGTTAGCACTCATATCTTGAAGCATAGTAAACAGGGTAATTCTCTTATACATGTTTAAATAATGTGGAAAAATCATTCATTTTCCTTCAAGTTCTAACTTTCATTTGCATCTAGGACATAACTAAATGCCAAATACGCAAAAAGCAAAAGAATTTATCATACTTTTGGTGGGTATGTGGTCAAAATGAAAGCTACCCTCCACCGATCCAAAAGAGTCTTAAAATATGTATTTTCTGTCACTAAGTAAAAGATTTACCTTTCACTGGGTGTCACATGACAACAAAAGGCAATGAGCTTCAGCTTCTGCCATCAACCACAGTTCAACTGAGTGATTTTTTTTTTCTGTATTAAAAAAAAAATACCACCTGCTACAGTGTTGAATATAGTAATGGCTGCAGTGAAAAAAAGGTGTCTGGGACTGGCATTGCACTGTGGGAATGGGGAAGGAGCGATTAAGTGATGACAGCACTTTGGCCACCTGTTTCCATCCCCTTTTAACACCAGCTTGTTTTTCAGGTGCATCGTCCCCTGCTCGGCCAGCCACTCCCTTGGTCCCTTGCAGCAGCACCACCCCGCCACCACCTCCTCCCCGGCCTCCATCTCGGCCAAAGCTACCTCCAGGAAAACCTGGAGTCGGCGATGTGGTATGTTCCCTTCTGCCCTGGTTTGCTCAGAAACTCATGGTGAGCATGACAAACAGGAGTGAAAAACCTTCCCACGGGCCATCTCTGCTTCAGGTCCAAGCCTCAGGTCACTTGTACAAATGGCCCTGACAGGTGGCATCTGAAAGGCAGTCGCTGCAGGATAGGTGTACATCTCAACCCTCCTTAAACTCTACCATCTTCAAGGCAGGGTCTACAATGGGAAGAAAAGGAACGCTAGGCCCTCAGTTTTGCTACAGTGGGTTTGATGCAGATCAAGACAGTCATGCTCAATTGTGCTAAATCTTTAGAAAGGGAGGTGTTTCTTTTCACCATATATGTTTGCTTTTCAAAGACCCCAAGAGAGGGAAAGTCCTGATTTCTGTCTCTAGACCTGGGGTGGGCAAACTTTTTGACTCGAGGGTCACAATGGGTTCTTAAACTGGACCGGAGGGCCGGAACAAAAGCATGGATGGAGTGTTTGTGTGAACTAATATAAATTCAAAGTAAACATCATTACATAAAAGGGTACGGTCTTTTTTTTTTTTTTAGTTTTATTCATTTCAAACGGGCCGAATCCGGCCCGCGGGCCGTAGTTTGCCCACGGCTGCTCTAGACTGTAGAGAAGTTAATTGGTGGTAGGCACCCTATGTAGATATAAAGCAGTGGTGGCCCAATGAGTTTATTCTAGAAGTTTCTTACATCGTGTTTTAGGCTAAGGGATGGAACAGATTCTGTGTGAACAATAAAGAGACTTCTGGTGGAGGTGAATTGCTTTGGAATCCATGCACAGGAGCCATAAACTGGTGATGTTCATAATATTTGGCTTAGCTAGCACACTACAGCATTTTGTATTCAGATGTCTTTCCGTGGGTTTAAGCTCTCAGATTATATTACCTGCTTAGTCCCTGAGAGCACGTGAGTTCACAGTCCTGAAACACCACTGACCACATTACAGGTCTCAGCTTCTCTAAGTCTCACTTACCTATTGAGTGTAGCACTTTGTGGTTTATGGTTCCTCTAGCTCCATCTACAAGCTCCAGTGTCGATATAATCAATTTCAGTGTAAAAATGGTGTCTCTTGTACTTTTAAGAACCTGGGTTGTTATAGCTGGGACTGGGAGTCATGAAAAATATGGAAGGGAAGTACTACGACCTATATATCTAATTTTCCATCTCTTTTCTTCTCTCTGCAGCCCAGACCTTTTAGCCCTCCCATCCATTCCTCCAGCCCTCCTCCAATAGCACCCCTAGCGCGGGCTGAAAGCACTTCTTCAATATCGTCCACCAATTCCCTGAGTGCAGCCACCACTCCCACAGTTGGTAAACGTTATCTCCTCTCTTTTAATCCATTGGTGGTTTTGACTGGCTATATTTATGACCTGGAAACCCTGAGGCCTATGTTTCTGGTCAGAATTGTTTTGCTGTGTGTTTTGCTACTATCATCTGACTCTTTACCTTCCCAGCAAAGGAGGCAAAGTGCTTCAACTAGGCATATAAATAAAAGAACATTAACACCTGTGTTAAGCAGGAATTATCTTATGCTATTCCATACAGAACTATTCATAAAAAAAAGGAAGAAATCGTCACATAAGGTCCTGTAATTTAGATATTATTTCTTATGATCTAAATTATCTCCTTTGAGGGGGGAATGTTCATTTAAATTCCAACTGTGCACAACCTCAGAAATCACAAAATTTAGAACTTTTATTTTCTTGAAGCTTTCATTTCTACATCAGTTTTGGTTGTTCTTATGTTGACAGATGGTATACACATTGGCATTGTGGAACTTGAGCAAAGTTTTTGACATGTTTTTCTAGTGCTTTTCAGTGATACGTGGTCAATGTTCCCTGAGAAATAAATCATTGCTGGCATTTTTAGTGAATGCCTTTGAGTCTCTTTCCTTATGTTGTGATGAAAGTGAAGAGTTGAGAATGGCTGCTCAGCGGGACGGTTTTCCCAGGTTTAAATGCCTCACATTGCCTGGAGTGTCTTCCCTTTTCCCCAGGCTGGTCTCCCTCTCCAGGTCTTCACCATCGTCTGTAGGCTCCTGCTGCATCTTCTGTTCGCATGGTGTCTCTTACCCGGGGCTTTCCCATTCCATGTTTTCCCATTGTCTTCCTTTATTGTCAGAACTCCCCTCCAAGCCTCCCATTATTATAAGCCAGCTGACCACTATGCATTGCTTGGGAGAATCATTAACCAAAGCTAAATAAATCCCTGCTACTTACCAAGAGCCCACTACAGAGTTGCCCGTGTGAGTAGTAGCTTGATCAAAGCCTGAAGCTCTTCTGGAAAACCTCCCTACTTTTCCAGTGGAATAAGTTAAGGTGTGCCTCTTAGGGGCCCCAAAGAGAAGTTCAACTGTATCACATGCTCTATATAGACCAGCCCAAAAGAATCCTTCAAATTTGGTGAAAATATAGCCAGTTGTCCAATTTCATTTGGTGCAGTAACAAGGCAGATATTTACCATTATGGGTATATACAGCCAACTGTATTCTTTATCTGAGTCATTAATTGGGGCACATTGGGGCTTCCTATTTTTATATGCCTATTCATTTCTTTCTAACTTTTGGTTTGTTTGTTTTTTCTGTAACAGCCCAACCTTATTTTTGAACTCTCATTGTACTCTTGACTGTTACAGCCATTTTCCCCACTCCTGCTCTAGTTTTTTGTTGTTTTTCTCAATATTATTTGTCCCTCCCACTCCATGTGACGTTCCTGGTTGATCAAAGAGGAAAGTGAAAATAAGCTGTCACTCAGAAAACAAACCTCAAGTGACCTCAGATGACTGTCTAATGTGTTCTTTCAACTCACTGAGATTCAGATAAAATTGCACACTCAGGAGATTTGAACTGTGTCTATGCTTTCTACAATGTGTTTTTATACTCCCTGCTGCCGAAATCTCAAATTCTGGCCAGTGACTTTAGTTCTGAACACATCTAGTATGCACTCTTTCAAGGTGAACCACAGAGGGGGTCATAAAAAAGCCACCTGAGAGGATAGTCACATTGCTTCATTGCTGAGGAGCACTCTGAGTTAATCTGCTTGGTTTTATTGTTTTTCATTTCATTTTCATCTTCCCACTATATTCCTCACTCTCCTGTTCTTTATTTCCTGCTGCTGTGGGTCATCTGACAGCCACTTCTCACTGAAGTAAATACATGGTCAAATGACTGGCCACCCAGTAGCTTCTTATGTCTTGGTGATTATCTCTTTTTGGAGAGGATATGCTTTGGCTGTTCAGAACCAAAGGACTGGCTATTCTTGACTGTCTTGGAATGTCAACCTAATGAAGTCAAATGGCCCAGGGAGATATTATAGCAGCAAAGTCCCCGAAGTCTCTCCCACCACCACAATAGTTTTTGACATTTCCTGTCACACTTGAGCCAAAATTGGGGCAAGTATGGTGAGAACCAATAATCAAAGTTTAATGTAATTTAAGGAATAAAATTTTAGGAGCAGGTTTAATCTTCCTACATGACAGTTCATATAAGAATATGCCCCTGCCAAACCGGTTTGGCTCAGTGGATAGAGCGTCGGCCTGCGGACTGAAGGGTCCCAGGTTCGATTCCTGTCAAGGGCATGTACCTTGGTTGCGGGCACATCCCCAGTAGGAGGTGTGCAGGAGGCAGCTGGTCGATGTTTCTCTCTCATCGATGTTTCTAACTCTCAATCCCTCTCCCTTCCTCTCTGTAAAAAAATCAATAAAATATATTTTTAAAAAAAAGAATATGCCCCTATCCGATATTATAAAGCAGTAAATCTGATGTCACACCTGACAATACAGTAAGCTCTTTTTGTACTCAGAAAAATCTCACAGGACTTTCACTCTATGATTTTGGGAGAAATCTAATATTGTGGGAATATAGAAAATATATAAAGTTATTCAATTATAAGAAATAAACTCCCAGATATTTGCGGTAGAAATAAACAGGGAATTATCTCTAATTGTAAATATCCATTTTTATTTCTGTGGATGATAGTCACTGTTTTTAGATGCTTGCAGAATCTTCATTTCAGACCCCAGTGCAAAAAAACCAGAATAAAGATAATTTTTCTTCACTGTTAAATGTACTGTTCATTATATTCCTTCACTGTTAATTATGCATTTGTATCTGCCTCTTTAATATCCCAGGAATCTGGAATGAAAGAGAAGTAATCACTTATGGGCAACAAAGGAAGCGTGCTGATGCTTCCTTAGGTGTGGATGTAGAACTCCGTATGCAGTACTGGGGTGTTAATTATAGCATCTAAAACTTACAATATTTCCTCCAAGCCTTTGTCTCTCCAAAGTGGAGGCCACTTCTGAATTGGATTTCTTTTAAAAATACCTGTATTAATGCCAGTTATCCTGCACAAAAAGAAAAATAGGCATTTGGAGGTGGATATTCTTGATCTCAATTAAAAATCCCCACCTTTAATTTTAGCCTTTTTCTTTTTTCTTCTGCTATTTTTTTGGAAAAGCTTGTTTCCAGTACTGGCTTCCCCATCCTAAATAAAGTTGAGGCTATCTCCATGGTTAGTCCTTAAGGAAATGTTTTCTTTAGTATTTCATTTGAGTGTTGCCCTTATTTAAACCAAGCACAGGGTTATCCAATGACTCCTTTTTTGAGTTCTCTGATTTTTTTAGGATGTTTTATTCTAAACCCTCAGTGTCTACAACCACCATAAAAAAAAGCATCAGCATGCTAATCAACCCTTATGAAATATTACTTTGTAACTTCAGCTCAAAGAACAAATGGCTATTGGAGGCTCCTCATTTTAACAAGATTGTAAAAAGGAAATCAGTTCTTCAAAAGAAAGGAATATCCTCCGTCATTTCCCTCTCCTGGGTATGAAAAGGCACTGTTTTTACATTCAGTTACTGCGATGTCACTGTTTTGCTTCCTATTTTCTCTAGTGACTATGGAGTGTGCTCCTCAGTGCCAGTTTCATTTGTCCTGTCCTCTCCTAGACACTTTACAGGAGTTGCATTAACTTGTTCTAGCCTCCAAGAAAGCCACATATAATAAAAACTGATTAACAGATGATATCCTAGGTCTAGGACCTTAGGAATTGACAAAGAAAGTTTCCGTGCCTTACTCCCTAAGTCTAGGAAGCAAGCTAGTAGGATATTTTCCAAGAAACCTTGTTTATGGAATAGTGTTACTACCCTCATTCATTTCCTTATCTTCTCTACATTGTCGGAAGGATTCTCCCTTACTGGTCTTTGTACAAAGCTTACTCAATTTTCCATTGAAGTTGTAATAATATCCTTAAGATCTATGGGTATTATTTTTTAATCAGATAGAATAATACTCAGATAGCATAATACTCTAATTGACCTGCATTTGTTAGTTGGTGAGATGGGGGACCATAGGCAAAGATCTGGAACACTTGGAGTCCAGAGCAACTGTTGAGACAAATTTACAGACATTTGGCCGTAATTGCACACTATAGCCAAAGATGGAATTACAGTAATGCTGTTCAAAATGAACAGTCCACAACTACCGAAGACAGGTACAAGACAAATTGAATTTGGATATTGATGAAGGTGAAATGGGATGCTTCATTCACTGACCTCAGATTTATACTGTTGCTTTTTTATGGTCTTGTTAAAAGCTTCTCTTTCCCCATGGGGGGAAGTGCATGCTGGGTAATTCTGTTGAGCTGTGACGAGGTTCTGTTGATGGACATATGTCTGGCCACTTGAGAATTGTGTCTGAGTGAAATACACTTGCACAAGTCAATTATTGATGATACTACCTTTAACAACTCCCTAAAAAGGTGGGGGTGTGATTTCTTCTATGGAGCTGAGTTCAGCCAAATTCACATGCTAAAACCTGTCATTTTTTACATTATAGTTTCTTCTCATAGCATCATCATGAAACAAGCACATCGCTTTTTTGTATCCTAATCATAATCTCAGTGTCCTAGGTTTTGTTTTCTTTTTCCATTAAAATCATTCCTGTGTTTCAGTCAGTAATGTGTGACCTTGATTTCATTTGGGATTTGTATTTGTGTTTTTGTTTTCCATCCCTTTATATTTCTTTGGTCCGTAGTGTCAGAAGATGATGTTTTTTATGACAAACTGCCCTCATTTGAAAGGCGCTGTGAAACCCCGGCAGGTATGGTGCTAGCCAAGTGATGTCTAGATATCTAGACGTTAAAAATCCAAGCCATTATGCCATCTGAATGCTATAAACGTCATGGACATGCTACTCACCTCATGAGTGTCCAGTGCCTCTCAGATGCACCCTGTCTGTTTGTTGTTCATTGTGGAACTCATGCCATTGAATTTAAGTGAACATATTTTAAAAAGCAGCAGGTTGCATGACAGTTTCTCAGCAAACAGGTCTGGAAAAGGTGAGATGCTATTGCTTTGTGAATTTACAAAGGAAGGAATAATTTAACTGCTCAGAATTACATGTCCAGTGACTGCTTTTTAATTTAAAAAAATTATAGCGCACCGTTAGTAATCTTGTTTTCTCTTTGGTACATAGGTAAAGGGTGTTTTGTGTCTGGATGCCTAAGGTGATTCCAGGGAAGGGGATGGAAGATATATGACATCTTCCAGGAGCATTAAATTGATATGCAATGCTGTTGTCATTTAAAACCTAAGCTAAGTTTATGTGACCCATAACTCCAAGTTTATCTTTTTTAAAACATAGAAGGGGATGACATTGAAGATGAAATGGATACAGCAATTGCTGAAAGACAGTTTGCCCAAACTAGTGCAGTTAAAATATGCTGACTCCCCTGCATGGCCAGGAAGACTTCCGCTCCATGCATACAAGCACCGAATGTCAAGCTATCGACAACACATGCCCATCCCTTTAGGCCTCCATAGCTTTGCTTTGCTTTCTGATTCCTGAACTAAAAAGAAAAGAAAAAAAAATAAAAACACCCATAGATTGCCAGCCTTCCCTTTTCCCTGCACGCTAATGGCATGCAGTGCCTCCGCCCTCCCCCATAGTGAGATTAATGACCTGCTCTGTAACTCACACTGTGTCCTTCTCTCTCCCTCTCCTTAACCTTTCCCATCCCGCTTCAACTCCTGGCCATACAGAGAATGAACAGCCTTCCCTCGTTTGGTTTGACAGAGGAAAGTTTTATTTGACTTTTGAAGGTAAGTAGTACATAGCATACCAGATTCTAATTTATACTCCCCTCATCCTTTCTTCCCATCTGCATTTCCAAATCCCAGTTCCCTTCAAAAGACCTGGGCTCACTCTCTATATAAAATGCTATGGCTACTTAGAAAATATTAACTACTAAAGAAATATTACATTAATTTGGTTTGTAGGGGAACTTCAATTTATTTTATTTAAAAAAATTAAAGCGGATTTGCAGTTAATATTGGTTACTTAATTAACTGTGTGAAATTAAAAAAACAAAACAAAATAAAACACCTTTCTTGTCCAAGGAACTTAACTCTGTCAACCAGGGCTCCTTCCTAACACTTGCAAATGCGATGCAACAAATATAAGGACATTTTTGGTTGGAATTGGCATTTAATTCTGTTTTAGATCATTAATATTTCAGATACAACATCCACTATTGTAAAATGTAAATATGTATATACTGTATGTCCTATGACAAGGAAGCTGCATAGAAGATCAGAAAAATGAAGAGGAAAAAGGGGGAGGTATTTTCTGTAAACAGTTCTGTTGTCTCTGAAAATTGCAACTGGAATGACCGTAGTAAAATGGACAACTATCATTGGACTTGCCATTTTAGAAGATGAAGGAAAATATACATGAATGTGTCAGATGTGTAACCTCTGTGCTGAATAATTTATGTTCTGTATTAAGGATTAGCATTCTTCTGTTTTATGTTTAAGTTCTAAATCGTTTTCACAGGCCAGACACTTGATAAAATGGCCCATTTCAACTAATGGTGGAGGGAAAAGGAAGTAATTTAACTTAATTAACAGATCATCTTACACGTAAATATTTATCACTTAATCCCCTATTTTCTACCATTTAAATAGCTGAATGTATCCAGGGATCAAAAGTCAGCCAAAAAATATTCAACTCTAGAATTAAATCTAAATGTTGAACTTGTGTTTTATGACAACAAAAAAACTTTCCTAACTTGAGTGTGTGTTTTAATGCAATTTTAAACAAGGAAATGACTTATAGATTCTTAAGTAGTTTGTGTGGTGTGGCTTTTTTTCTCTTCACAGTGAATTTTCCTTAAAGATGGTGCTAGAGATGGAAGTCCTTAGCTTGGAGCAGTTTGGATAGCAGCAGAAAATAGGGTCTGATTTAAACTTTCCCAATACCTGGTTTCTTGTCCTGGCTCAGGTAGAGGACAGGAGGCTAGGCAGTCCACAGCACATCAGAAGCTTGATAGTCTCAGGTCATTAATTTTGTAATAACCAAGATGCAAAGTCTATAAACTTATGGCCTTATATACTACCTCTTTGAATCAGACGGAATTAAAAAGTGCCCAAGTGTCTTTTTACTGATCAGCACATCCCAAAAGGAGAAGCTGCGATTGAATAGGTTGGTGATCCTGAGGTACCTGCCTGTGGAAAAGCCCTGTCTCTGGTTCAGCCTGGCCTCAGCTGAGGCTGTAGAGTACCCTGCTTTAACCAAGAAATTAAACAGCACACCACTGGCAATCCTCAATAATTGTCTGAGGTCCAAAACAACACTTTGGCAGGCTTTTTGATGTTGCAGTTTACTTTGGCTTTTGAGTATCTATTGGCTCATTTGCTTGTGTTTTATTTGGGGTAGTCTCTCCTTAAAGATACCAATCTAAAGACAATTTTTGGTTGTTGGTTTGTTTTTAAAATATGTTTTATCAATCAAATATAAGTATTAATAAGTGTGTGGAGTAACATAATGTGAACCACATCTTTTTATATTTTAGGAAAATATATTTGTTCATAGATTTTTGAATATCTAAATTTGGTAACATTGTCATTCTAATTATAAGATCCAAATTCCATAAGCATCTCAATTTTGGCCAAGAGAAGTCACATAAGAAAGTTTTAATAGAAATTACTTGGAACCACTAGTACTGTGTCTTTGCTCAAATCTGGGAAATATAAACAAAGCTTCCCAAGGGATTAGAGGAGCATCCATATCATGAATGTGCATCCCTCCTTATCAAGAAATGCTTATGCATATGAAAGTGCATTAAAATAAACTTTAAGGGAAAACTTAAAAAAAAATTAAAGATGACCCCTCACCCAAGAATATGTTTTTATTGATTTTAGAAAGAGAGGAAATGAGAGGGAGAGAAAGAAACATCTATCGGTTACCTCCCATATGCATCCCAACTGGGATTGAACCTGCAACCTGGGTATGTGCCCTGACAGGAATTGAACACATGACCTTTCAGTGTACGGGATGATGCTCCAACCGAGCTACACTGGCCAGGGCAAGGATAGCTATGTGGGTTTTTCATTTGTTTGTTTTTAAAGGACAATGTTTAGTTTTTTAATATTGATTTCAGGGAGCAAGGGAGAGAGAGATAGAAACATCAATGATGAGAGAGAATCATTGATCAGCTGCCTCCTGCACGCCCCCACACTGGAGATTGAGCCTGCCCTGACCGGGAATCGAACATGACCTGGTTCATAGGTTGACGCTTAACCACTGAGCCATGCCAGCCGGGCAAGGATAGCTATGTTTAAAAAATGGAGAAGTTTCATTTTTATCATTTTTGTACATTAGTCTCAGATATTTTTAGCTAGTGCAACCTGAAAGAATTTTTAAAATTTTCTGCTGTGATGATAAAATGACATAGAAATGGTGACATGTTAAATTGCCTTAAGCATAGTGCCCCTGCCCAAATTTTTGTACTCCAAAAACCTGTCATTCAACATATTTTATTGAATATACTTCTTGCATATTCTTCTTGGGCACTCTGCTTTTACCCACATTTATTATTAATATTATCGTTATCTTTAATTTTCTACTCAGGGAATGTAGAAAAGGAAGAAAGATTCCCATGCCAAAAAAAATTCACTTTTTCTAATTCTTCTGAAGTATTATTTTTTGGCATCTAAATAGTGTGTTTATAGTGCTCAAAACTTTACCATGTCTTATTCATTGCCTTGTTCTTCTAATGCTTTAGGCAGCCTGGTCACTTAGTAAGGGTTTGAGCCACTGACTGACCAACTATCTAGTGAACATTGGCTTGTGAGTTTCTTTGGAGATAACGTGAGATGCTTCACACTTTCAAATTGAATTTAACTAGAGATAGGAAAGTATTAGACAGTGGTTCTAGCTCACAAGAGTGTCAAAGCTTTTCCTAAAGTTTCACTTTTATAAACAATTTCACTGAAATTTAACCTATTAAATTGGGTTAATAAAAAAAAGTTAAGGTTTCAAAAAGTAATAACTTTTTAAATTCATTCATCCAAGAGTATATCCTATTGAAGCTGTCAAGTGTTCTTGTGAGATGGGAGAAAGGGAAAGATATTTCCATGACAAGTAGAAAATGTGACTGTTAGATATTTGAGCAGTTTCCTAGAGCATTTTAACATCAAGATGTTCCCAGAAGAGTGCTATTAGCTTATTTCACTACAAAATCATCTTGTATCTGGTAATGAAAACAAACAACCCTACAACCATACATTCTTAAGTGTCCTTGTGTCTGAGTAACATCTCTATCCTCTGCACACACAGCCTCCCCCACACTCATCCCCTGGCTGCTCTGTGCTTCTCTCTACTGCTTTTACTCCCATCACGCCTTCGGGAATGTCACCTCTTCGGCAGCACCCTTCTCTGCATTCTAGGGCTCTCTGCCAAAATCGCCCACCTGTTTCCTTAACTGAATCCCTGCTCTTTCCGGGGACCATCCCTTCCCTGCAGCACTCTCCCTGGAAAGTTCTTCTGTTCTGTGGGTCTGGCCCCTCGGGCTCTTAGACTTCTTACCTACCCTAAGTACCAGATAGGAAAATTGCAGACATCAAGCTTAGAAGAAAAATACCAGCTTTTCCAGGACTGTGATTGCAGATACATTGTGCTGAGGCTATAATTCAGATGCAGAAAGCTAATTTCAGAGGCAATGCGTGCACGTGCACACACACCTACACACACACACACACACACACTTTTTCCTCCCCCCTCCTATACATATATATTCCATATCATTTTCTCTATATGTATGTATATGTGTGTATGTGTATGTGTATGTGTTTGTGTACTTAGCGCAAACCAATTGGTGATTCTCTATTGCTAATATCTAGGATAATGCCCAATATACCTTAGGTTAACATTTAACATGACATAGGCATTTATATTAGTACTCTAACATAGCAACATTTTAATATTTTCAAAGCATAGGTTTAAATGTCACTCATATTTCTTTCTTTAGAAGCTATTCCTAATTTTTAGAACAGGTTAGGTCTTCCTGTTGGGTGCCTCCAAAGCACCCTGTTTTCTGAATTATAACATTATCTAAACATTATTATAACTGCTTGTTTAATGTCTGGCTTCCATGCTCCATGGAGACAGGAACATATCTGTTTTGTTCACCAGTGTAACTAAAATATCTTACATATTACCATGTACATAGTAGGCACTCAACAAACACTTGCTGATTAAATGAATACAGTCATAACAATATCTGTCTTCATAGCAATATTTATCAAGGTCTTATCTTATGAATTTATTAATTGTTTTTCTTATCAGATATGTATCAATTGCAGAATTAGTAAAAACCTTATCACTTTGTGGAAATTAATGAAATATTAGTGGAAAACCTTAACATTTTGCTGTGCAGCCATCATAGTCAATTTCCTTCTCTGGAAATTGGAATATTGGCGACACCTATTTCACAGGGTTGTAGTCAAGGGGAAATAGTTAAGTACTGAGGTCAGTGCATGCAAAGTGCCCAATAACAACCAGCTAGGACCACTATGGTCCAACTTCACACATCCCCTGTTTGTAGCATGGCTGTGTTTCATTTAGGTCTTGCCAGCTTTGGAAAAGGTTGGGTTTTAGCATTCTAGTCTTCTTCCACATAAAACATCTGGCAACTTGATCTGTGAGTTGCTACACGGCCTCCCTGCCTCCCTCAGAGACACTGAGCAGTCTTGTCTTTGCTGCTTATGGCTCAGGAGAATCATTTGGGAGCAGAATGCCTCCTCCCTGCTGTACAGCCCCC